CTATTGAAATATCTTTAATAAATTTATTAGAAGTAATTGAGTTTTTATTGATAAAACCAGTTCTGGTGTCAATTTAAATTTAAACTTCAGAAATTTTTACAATGCGTTTACTTTACCTAAATTCCTTTATATATTTCTTAAAACTTTTGAAGTATTTTAAAGCTAAAGGTATCACTTCTCTAATGACTAAAAAGATGTTGATAAACGAAATCAAGAATATTGCAGCTAGTATCATCCATCCATTATCATATCTAATAATTGGATTTAAAACATAATCTGTTTGTAAAATCATCAAAATTGCATAAAATAAGACATAGGTTTCATTTAGCATTCCTATATAATTTCTATCTAAGTTTTGATAAGGCATTACCAAAATTAGATAGACAAGTTTAGCCATTGAAGTACCAGTAAAAATTAACCATTAAATAACAAAATTCTAATCAAAAAAGAAAATAGAAAAAACAATAGCATAGCGTCTCAATGCAAAGTATGAATAAAATAGCAAAGCTTGTTTTTTATCTGCTTTAAATTCTCTTACTATTGTTTTAATCCATCTGTTTTGAATAATTTTATAGTTTTCTTCTCTAATAACATATACTGTAAACCAAAGGGGCATCAAAGTAACAACAGTCTAAATAATGAAAAAAGAATAAAACTAACCATTAAAACTAAAGTTAAACAAGAAGACAAGGTATATCCTGCTAGGTTTCCAGAGAAATCAATATCACTCAAGTTTAAGAAAATGCATAGGAGCAAATTTATATATTATTCCGTCATAAATCTCAAAGGGAATCGGTAAATAGCTATGTTTCTAATGTTTTTTATTATTCTCAGTAATTTTTAGGATTTTCTCTTTTATTTATCTCTTTAAAACCTTTTAACAATAAATATCAAAAGCTTTGATAAAATTATCAAAATAGGTATTAACAAAACAAAAGTAATGTATAATGACATGTTTAATATAAGCAGCCTTGTTTCATACCCAAAATTCATAAATTTCTCATTGTAAGGATTTTCCTATATTTCCTCTAAGTTGAAAAATTTCCGCACGAAATCATCAATATAGGTATAATCGAATCTCAAGGATCCAACAACTAACTATAAAAAGTAATACAAATTAGCAGGTGGTTGTATTTGCAATTAGGGCGTAATAGAGATTAATTACTAGGAATTAACTAGTGCCCATATAAATTAAAATGACTATGAAGTAAGCATTTATATGCCAATTTAGGAAATCACCAAAGATTGCAGTGTAGAGTTAAAAAATTATGCGAGCCCAACGATAATATCATAATCCTTTTGAGCTATTTAGCTTGTTATTCGAATATTAATAGAAGCAGAGGTGATATTCTAAAATATGAATAAGCTAAGATCCTTAAATATTATTTGTAAGTATTGAGGTTTCTATAATATAAAACATTTAAATGAAATTTACATCATAATAAGATATGGTCAATGGATTTGAGAATTTTACTTGAATGCTGAATTAATTAGACTTAACTTCAGTAATTTACCAGCTCATCTATAGTTCAGGATTATTAGACTAAACATCTATTCCTTTATGAATTAAAAGCTCTAGTTACTCTCTTCCCTTACTTAGATTTAATGGCTTTTCAAACTAAATTATAATTATTCCTTGTGGTGATAATTTGCCAACATTTATCTAATTGTCAAGTCCATGATCTTTTCGAATTTCAATTTTTGTATTATTTGTAATTTTAATGTTGGTATTGTTCATTTAGCCTTCATCTGTGGGTATGAATGTTGCATATATCAGGTATTTTGATTGCAATGGTCTAATATTATTATCCTTTAATGTAATTATTATCTAAAATGTTTTCAACTCGTTTATCCCAGCATTAACCTCTAAGAATTTGCCATCCAGTAATTAAAAGAATTATGGGTACTTATTTAAAGTCTAAACAGTTATTTTAACTTAATCTTTAGGATTCGGATCAAAATAGTCTGGCAATCTTAATTTCAATTTACTTCCTGCTATCAATGTGATATTTTATGGATCTGAATAGAATAATGGAGGATAATTTGGAATGTAAATGTTCTCTTGATTTGATTTAACTATTTTGACATAAAAACTTGTAGAATTGGAGAATTCATCTAGCAGACTGCAAGTAAGGGTCAGTAAGTAATCACCAGAATATGATTAATCATCAGTTAAAACTATAAGCAAGAGTTAATCATCCACGAACCTTAAAAATTAAGGTAATATTTTAAGATTCTCAGTTGACATTGTGTAGGTTATTATTAAATCTTAGCATTACTAATTGTAAATACATGGCTA